TCAAACCGTGTCAACTCACACATCCAGCTCCTCGAGAAAGTAGTATATAGCGGAGCAAGAGCCATTCTCCCAGTATACCGGACAACCCAGCTTGCAGCATTGCTCAAAGAAGCTCATATCCCCCCGCCCGAAATCGCACTTAATCAGGCGACACAGGCCTTCGCAGCCCGGACAGCTAGTCTTGACCCACGTCACCCTCTCCAAAAGCGAGCCACAAAAGTAATTCAGCTAGGCAGGCCGACATCCCGATTCGCTAGAGCTATCCTAGCCCTCCCAGCGCATGAGATAGTCAACTCTATTGCCCTCCCTCCCTGGCGGATGCGAGAGCCGAATGATATAGCTGAGGCAAGAGTTTACGGCCCTCTTGGTCGGACGAAAGAGCAGGCAGCGGAGGACTTTGAGGAGTTCCTGCCATCTATCCCGCTAGGAGACATACAAGTGTTCTCAGACGGCTCAAAGCAAGAGGCCAAGGACGGAGCAGCTGGCGGTGGCTTTGTAACCTATCAGGGTGGCCAACAGACTAGCTACAAGGCCTTCCCACTAGGCTGCAACGTAGAGGTCTACGACTCTGAGGCTATTGCAGCCCTCCGAGGAGCACAAGCAGCCCTTGCTGCCCCATCCGCAAGGTTCTCAACTAACCTCTGGGTGTTCCTTGACAACCTTGAAGTAGCCAAGCGACTCCTAGGCGACACTATCAGCTCATCACAATGGGCCTTTGACGAATTCAAAGAAGTAGCCCGTCAGTGGCCTCTTCGTACAAAACTAGCACACCTTCCAACCGGGGAACTCAAGGTCCGGTGGGTCCCAGGGCATGTGAATGTGCCTGGCAACGAGGCCGCTGACAGGGCCGCAAAGGAGGGTGCTAGCCTACTAGCCTCTCAGGACAGCATCTGTTCTCTAGCGTCCCTAAAGCGGCTAGCAAAAACAGAGGCGACTAGAGCAACCGCTAAACTCTGGTATACTACAGCCCCGCAACACTACCTTGACCTAATGGTCCCGTACGAAAAGAACAAAGACCTACTCTCAATAAACCGCGGAGCACTTGGACGAATCCTTGCAGCCCGTTCCCAGCACGGAGACTTTGCAGACTACCATACACGGTTCCACCACGAGGACGCTCTCTTAACCTGCTCTTGCGGAAGAAGAAAATCCCCGCTTCACTTCTACTTCTGCCTACTATTAAACTGTAAGAAGCTACACAAAGGACGCCCATCAATCGCAATCCCTTGGCTACTTGGAACTACCCAGGGCTCTATTAAACTAGCAAAGTGGTTTACAGACTCCAAGTTCTACCAAGAAGTGTGTATATCACATACACAAAGCTCTCCTACCTTATAAGGGAGCCCTCAAAAGTCTACTAGTTTCCTTTTACTCTTCTCTTTACTATTCTCTCATTTACTTTATTCCATTATCAGAGGCGGAGGCAGCGGCGAACAGGGGCTAGGATCACAGGCTGGAGGATCATGCTGCAAAGAGGAGGCAGCACTACTGTTTTACTTCCTCAAGCGGACAAAACAACAGCTAAAGCGTACATGTAAACCCCGCTACAGCCTTTAAACTCTTATATAATCTAGCTAGCTAGACAGGAAGCCAGGGGCCTCCCCCCCTGGCGTCTTTAGCCCCAACGGGGACTGAAGGGCACGTGACTTGCGTACGTGCCCGCCTAGACGTTAAATAGACACACACACACACACATTTGTAGATCATTGCAGGGGACGTCATCTGATTGTTGAAGTCAGCACCCGAGAGGTTTTGATAGTCTACCAAGGACTCGTAGAAGCTGTGAGTAAACATTGGAAAGCTAAGTACATACAAAAAAATCAAGGACTCAGTAATAACCCTGCTAAGTGTGGCTGAGTAGTCATTTGTGGTCTGGTTGTTTGAGGCAGAAAGCATGCTGATTCATCGTATGGGCTCTGCTACCAAATAAGTGTTTCATCGGGCAAGCGAGGATAGACTAATTGCGCAGTTATAGTCAGCTGAGAATAACGAGATTCATCTGGTGTCGTTTATTGACATTCTGGTTGCAGCGTACCAATCGAAGGTGCACTCGTTTGAATCCCTTAGGGGAATTAGCATCATGATTCACGTTTTCTGTGGTAGAGGCTCTCACTTTGCGGCTCTAATAAGCTTCGCTGGATATCTGGAGGTTTAGCTAACGTCGCGTTATAAGTTTGCAAGGAGAAAGACCGTTGAGATTGAAAAAATATTGAAAAAGCGCCACTGATCGAGTACGTAATGAGCAAATTAGTCAAACTACTATCTACAGTACCTAGGTCCGGGCCGGGGCAGCAACTCCGGCTATCTCCGAACCATTTACCAAGAGGTGAATGTTGGAATAGAAAACAAACGAGTACTGGAACACATGATGAGCAAGTAAGGGCGGGGTCGACTCCTAGCTAGGGCTATTATAGGTCCAGGTTGTACCTGAATGATTGAGGAGTAAATGCTGGGATATAAAACAAACCAAAGTTACTTGACAATCGGATACTTCCATGCCGGGATACAACTCTATGTCGATTTCACAACAATGCGGTCAAAGGGACCGCTACAAGGAACCTTGACGGGGAAAACCTTTCCAAGTATAGAGAACGTAGATGTGGAAGCGGATTAATTCTCTATGCATTCGATGACTCGAAAATCTTCACCCACTCAAAAGTGAGCTCACCTGCGCGTTTATGATCTTGGGCAGTACAAATTAGACGGCTTAACCGCTTCACGATCGAACTATTAAGCTTAATTTCGATCGTCGTTGTGATAAATTCCTTACTGGCTAGGTCGGCCACGAGCTAATCAACTTCAAACCTCATTTCCCGTGAATGTCGCATAGTGGCGCAGGAACGACCTACAGAACTTCGCGTTCGCGAAAGCTTGAATTTGCTTGTTGTGCATGTTTTCCTGCCTAGACCAGAATATCAAAATTGTCAGTGGTCTCTTCGGTCTATCGGTCTTCGGGAACCACTTCCTAATGCGTATTCGGGAGCATGTAAATAGACAATTCTGCATACCAAGTTGGAACTGAGGGGGTGTAAGTTCTCGGGGGGCGATGTGAGGATAATATTAGAGTCCTCGTGACAGTGTGACACCTCTGCCATAGGAAAAGAAAGGCATGGCAAACCCAGAATATCAGAAGATCTGGGCGCCCAGCAAATTGACACTTTGTCTCTCAAGTTTCATTGGATGCGGTCGGGGTCGGAAGGCTCGGGTTGCACAGTACAGTACGGAGGTAGCAGAGTTCAAGGGACTTGATTTCGAACTGTTCAGCACTCGCGAGTGAGCGATTCGTAATCGTCTATTCTGTATTAAGAACATCCAGCTGAATGTTTTCGTTACCGAGGAGGTAGCTTATCCGCATGCGGTTACGGATTTTCTCGGTAAAGGAGCCGAAACAGGAAATGGGAAAAATCCAGAAGAATTACGCATTCTAGGCTCAGCTTTTAGCCGAGATCCATAGTGTTGTTTGTAAACATTGCTCGGAGATGTGGGAGTTCTTCGTGGGAAAACATACAGGAAAAACAACACCACTAGAGCCTAGTGCTTGAACTTTTCACTTTTATATTTAGCGCTTCTTGGGCTTGATATAGCCACCGACAGCCTGATTTGTTGTAGTTGAACCTCTCGTTTTTGTGCGGGCTGTGGGGATTTCTGTCAGAAAGTTGCAGGTATTGTTACTCAGCTTCACCAACAAGAAATCAAAAACATTTGCAGCTGAAAAAATAATTGGTAGTAAAATGGTATAAAAGGGTGATGTTGAGGGGCAAGGCTGATTTGGTTCCAAGTTCGGTTTCGGCGGATGATGTGGGGGCGATTTTCATCGCTAACCGTAGCTGGGATCCGAAGCCAAAAACAACGTCCTCTCGTGAACAAACATACCGTACCTGTACCACATCGGACTCGCACTTCTCGCAGCACTCAAATTTTCCTAATCCGGCGAATCCGCTTACCAGGTTCCGAAAAGAGTTTGACAGCTCTGCCCCGTCATCGTCATTTCAGGAGATGGGAACCCCCATTGGCGAGGTCTCGACCTCAATTCGCTGAAATATCTACCGGTAGAGAGGATGAACCGTCTTCAGACCCGAATTCCGAGGTGTCCCTCGGTAGATTATACAAAGTCAGGGCATTCAAGTGTTTTGCTTGAGGCTGAGGCTCACGATGATTTTATGGTGGCACAGACCTTCCACTACGGTCACAAAACAAGCCAGTGCCAAACCAGAAACTTGAAATGTCCACGATCTGCCCCAAGATCGTCCGTTGTTTGTTTTTTCCACCCAGTGCCGATAGACTGTCGGGTTTCAAGATCTTCGAATCCCCCAACCTTCCACTCAACACTCGAACAAACTCCCCAGAAAACCGATGTTGCTTATCATGGAGGGCATATTGAGAAGAGAACATGGGAGTGCATTGAAAAGCTGCCCGTTTTCGTCCATTGTACGCCAAAGAGTCGCTGAAAATACTGTTATCACTTCCTATTCAATTTGGTATGATCTGGGTGATCTTGAAAAATCCTTACGCAAGTACTTCTGGTTTAGCGCGTGTTTTGTCATCGTCTCTATCCGGATAGAGTCAGTAATCTCAATGCTAAGCTTTCCGTAACTAACACCGGAAAGGATTTCCTCGCGAACCAAAAATGCACACAGGTACTGCTGAACCGTGCTCGTAAAGTTTTGATACGTTTAAGAATTTACCAGGCACATCTTCTGTGGTGCCAAGCACCGCCACCCCCCCACAAGTTGTTCTCCTGCTGCATGTCTAGACAGTAATCAATGTTTCCGCGATGCCGCAGTTACGGGGGCTGTTCTAGGTTCTCTTTCCTCAAAGCTTCTCTGGGTGCTCCACGGCCAGACATCCGATGACCGAACCCTAATATATAGTTCTCTTGACATCCCTCTCGTTCTATCATCACCATCTATCGATTCATTTTCTTCATCTACTCCTCGCTTTCTCCTTGGTATCTTACCGTAATACTCTGACGCCGGTCGTCCAGCTACATTCTTTCGACTCACAGTTTAATTTCCAAGCATTCTCTCAACGCTTTCAAGATGAAGTACTCATCGACAGTTTTGTGTGCGGCTTTCGCTGTCACTGGTGTCTACTCTCACGCCGTCGTCACTATGATCTACGGTGCCAATGGTTAGCCATAAATCTTTGGAAGGTTTGCAATACAGCACTAACATTATATCAGGTGTTGACATGGCCGGTTTGACTGTCGTTGACAACACTCCACGTGATTGTCCTTCCGCTGGATGTGGTGCTCAGGATGATACTGCTACCATCAGAACAAACGAGATGGGCACAAGTAAGGCAACCGCTTTGGGCAGAAGTAAGGCAAGCGGACCAATTACACCAAACAGAATGGTGGCCAACTTCATGGGTGGTGCTGGTACGTTCAAGATCGTGACAACACATAATCTATTACTAACATTTCACAGCAAACAAGACTGCCCGTGCTATCCACGAGCAGATGAACCTTTACAAACGTGATATGTTGGGTGATCTCATGAGTTTGGCAGCAGGTGGTGCTGGTGGTGCTGCAGGTGGTGCAGGTGGTGCAGGTGCCAACTCTGTCAAGACCCCAGCAGGTACAAAGGAGACTGGTAAGTCTTTCAAAGGTTCCTCTCTTTTCGACAAATTTTGAAATTCGAAGTACTCGTAAACTCGAATCCCTTTGCAATTTGCACTTGCCCTAGTTTGAGAATTCTGGAATACACATACTGACTCCAATCTAGGTATGGCAGGAACTGCTGGTATTGGTGCCACAAAAGGTCTGCCAACCGCCAGTGCGTCCGGCGAGATTACCATGACCATTCATCAGTGCAATCAGGATGGTGCTGGTCCATTCAATGCCGCCATTGATCCTACCTCGGGTGGAACCGACCCAGCAGCATTCAAGACCGCACAGGTTACCCAGAACGTTCCAGGTATCGCAGCTGGTATCTCAGCAGCCACTACCACCGATTATAAAGTCAAGGTTCAAATGCCACAGGGTAAGCTAGTTTAAATTCTCCACTTCTGAACTCTCGCTTACAGCCCTAGGTATGGTATGCTCTGGTACCGTTGATGGTGTAGGAAACGCCTGCATCGTCAGAATGTCCAACATGACCCCAGCAGGCCCATTCGGAGGAGCCGCTATGTTCACTCAGACCAATGAAGCAAAGAAGCGTGCTATTGAGTACAACCTCAACAAGCGCCGCATGGCACGAGGCAAGACCCCATCTACCGTTTAAGCATCTTTGTCTGCCATCTTTGATACTGGATCTTTGGACTTGCAAACTTTATGATATACACGAACCGCGATGTTTTATGTAGCCTTTCATTTCATTGTTCATACTTCTTGGTGGTGTGGTATGGGCGGCCTGGTTGCATCTTGTTGAAGATTTTCATTGAATCGGGAAAACAGGTACCGGGAATTCAGTTTTAGCTAGTCTAAAATAAAAGATACTTTCGTTTTAAAATACATATATTGGTCAATTTTTAGTCACGAGCTACTGGAATTGGCATTGTTGATGGTATTTCAATGAGCAATAAGCTGTTTGAAACCTGTCTGTATTCGCATCTCTGCCCTGGAGAAAGTTGTAAGCGGGAAGTGATACTGACCTGCAGCCCCAAGTATCCTGAAGAACAGAGAGCTTCTATGTCAAACTTTCGGGGAAAGCAGTGGCAATCTTACCAAAAGACTTGCAGCCACTCGGAAACACTCTTCCTGACTCCATTTTGTGCGTTATCTCTTTCATGATATGAATCTTGTTTCAAGCACACAGACCTCTCCTCATGATGGCCTAGTGTGTCTGATTAACTAGCACTATATTAAGATCGTAATCTTCGTGGTTTTTCTCTAGAAACTATTGATCACGTCACATATGTTGTAGACTATTGACCTTGCTTGCCTCCCCACTACTATTTTCTCGTCTTTTTCTTCTGCCACTTTTACCGAACTAAAACACTTCTCTCCTACCCTGATACATCCTTTCCCTCAATCAATGATCCAAATATTTCATCTTTAGCTCTCTAGCTAATCAAGTATCTCTGCAAACAATGACGCAAACGAAGCCGCTATGTAAATCCGTGGGCTGACGTCTAACTTCACTACTCGAACCACCCCGAGCGGTGATTTGACAAGAAAAAGTGTGATTAACGAAAGTATCTATTATCCACCCACTACAGACCCCGGCGCTGTGTTTCCGGAAAAGGTGTATTTTCAGATGAAGAGCGGGACAGTTTTACTAACACTCTCAGCCTTCTTAGACCCGCTGTTTAGCAATCACTTCCAATCAAAACACTGTATTGTAAGTAAATTAACCTTTTATATATCCGAGCTGGGTTTCTGAAGATTAGTCCAATTGGACCTTTTCCGGAAACACAGCGCCTGGGTCTGTACATCACTCTGCTCCCAAAGCCTCACCCAACGTTCTTAGTCAGCTATAAACTATCTTTGCAGGCCGCAGGTCTGACCCTTCCACTCAGCCGTTCGATTGGGCTTCCCGCCATCCGGAAGTCTATCGAGCCGCAATTTGGGGTCGACATCGAGCCCAAAAAATGCGCTTAGCTGGAAGTCAATGCTTGATTTTGCCTTTGAAGCATTTGGGTTTCCGGTGCTTTGAGTTGACGTCTGATTGAAGTGCTCAACATCCGAGAGCCTCTTGCCCTGAGTACTCTCAGACATTTGTGGGTGGTGCGGGTCAGAGAATAACTTTATGGTAAACGGTCGCTGCTTGTCATTGGTTTCTATTCTTGTATCGTACTAGTATTTTCTTGCAAGGGTTGTGCTCTCATGCTTAAAGCTACGTTTTCTAGTACTGTACTTGGCTGCTGTCATGTTATTGGAGGATTATTCTTCCCAGGCGCTTTGGCCAATGAAGTCGAGTGGTATGAACGGACGTTTTGCTCTGAATCCTAGGCGTTGGTACTACTACAGTAATAAACACCAGCGCGTCTTCTCATAACGTTTCTTCGGCTTTGGGCCTCGATTGGAATTTCCTTCCATGTACAGTAATACCACTGATTCAATGTGAGGTTTTGAAGTGCAAACCTTCATCGTCGCACGTACTTCTGATTATCCGTCTCGAATAAGATCCTGGGACGAAAACCGGTGTATTTTATTAGCTTGCCACCCAAAAAGCGGAGTGTTCTGGAGCCAGCAATTGGCAAATGGGGGCTTCAAGAATTCTATTCTATCTAAAATTCTCCTAGAGCACGTTCTACATAGAATGTAATGTTACATCGAACAAGCTCCAGAATTTCAGAGTATTAAAACTCCCGGCAGCTAGTAAGTAGACCCCCCGACCCCTCGCCTACTGTAATAGACGGTCTGAGCTTTTAGCGCGTGCAGGGGATCTGGACATACTCACGTGATACTGTAAGTTATATTACTTTCAACGCCAGGCTCTAGAAAGCACGATGGCCCTTGTAATTAATTACTAAAACAAGTATATATTATATGAAAATTATTCTGTGAACAGGGTTATAACAAACTACTCAACAACTCGAGTCCGACCTGAGTAGTACGGAGTAAGTCGGGCCGTGCGTCGTGTCCGACTACTCTGTTGTTCGTCGCTTATCCGCCTATAGGTTAACCATGCGCCGGACGCTCGGCCCGGTTATACTCCTTACGGAGTACTACTCAAGTAGCAATACTTATAATATAACGTAGAATATAATATATTTAGTCCCCTGTAAATACTTCCTTATTTTCCCGCTCCTATAATAATCCTACTACTTTCCTCGTTTATATGTAAAAGTACTGTACTATTACGATGAGTTCTTTTGAAGTGTTATAATTTTATTAAAAAGACATAGTTTTCGTAAACGTTTCTTTCTATGAATATAGAAGTTTCTGCTACAAGGTTCTCCGACTGATAGATGAATAGGATCATGTAACTTGGTTCTATAGAAAGTCTAGGATGGAAACTTCTTATAACAGGGTATCTAGAACAGAATGGAAGTTCAAATACCGATGTTGGCTGCACAATAGATTCAAGAATGTGAATGGTTTTGCGGGTTTTGAGGGCTAGATCTACGGAAGCCCTTGACATTTATTTATTTATTGCTATTTAACGTCAAGCGGAGTCTAGCTCGCGTGGGCTAGGTCCTAGAAGAGTCCCAAAATAGGGCAAATGACGCTAGGGGGGTGCCCTAGGCTACAGGGGGGTGTAAACGAAAGAGCTAATTTACATGAGGCAGTTTAAAGAGAAGCTCCACTTTCGGAACAGCTCTTATCCTTAATTAGTTTAAGAACCAGGGTAAAACAAAGGAGATATATAAAGAAAAAGGAAATAAAAGAAGGCCTGTCTATCTAGAGAGGCAGATCTTAGTGTAGAATTCAGTATTGAAGTAAACCTTGCTAAAGAGCTCTTCGCAGTGGGATCCGAAGAGCAGTTGAGGATTTCTCTTAGCCTTAGCTAATAGCTTAGGTGCTTTGTTGTTTGCTAGCTTGCAAAAGAGTAGGTGGAATTGAGACTTAGCCTTCCTGCACCTACACTCCCCCGAGGTGAGAAGTGTATCATAGTGAAAGAAACGAAGGTGGTAGGCGGTGAAGTCTCCATGGCCAGAACGAGCAGCTATTAAGCGGGCTAGGACCTCTCTAGGTAGCTGGAGAGACCGGGGTTTCAAGGACCAGTTGTAGAGCCCTAGATACTTGTAAAGACCTGGAAGTGTAGTGCCCCAGAGCTTCTTCGCAAGCGTGCCCCCTAGCTCCTTTACCTCTCTCTTAAGCGTGGCTGTACAGAGTAGAGAGGGGGGACCAGGAAGAAGTATCCGCGCTGCTTTTCCTGCAGCTTTATCCGCAATCTGATTGCCAAGGATACCTATGTGGCTAGGACACCACCTTGTCTGTATTTTCCCAGGGTACGATTGAGCTAATTCGTAGACCCTGTTAAATGTCTCTTGTGAGGTGCCACAGGACCGGTAGGTCAGCTGTAGTGTGGCTTCAAGGTTGTCAAGGCAGATCCAGCACTTCCTTGCCGAAGGCCAGAAAGAGGATTCTAGGGCAAGCTCTAGGCCATGGAGAGCAGCTCTAGCTTCTGCATTGACATATGTGATATATGACATACCTCTCATGATGTCCTTTGCTAAAAGCTGCAAAGGAGATGTAGGGATATTATAGCACAATAGCGAATTTGAATCAAGAAATGGACATGATATGATCGCCTACGGCTTCAAAATCGATTCTGAGATATTAACAAGATACCTCATATCACAAGATTACCATATTGCCTAACGTGAGGGGATTCCTTTTGCCGTTTTACTATAGAATCGGTATTCAAAAAGGAGAAGAATCCTTTATTGCAAGCATATCTATTGTAATCCTTGATTTTCAAGTCTCACTCGATTAATATCTCACTTCAAGTAATCTGGATCTCCCTCAACGCTATCACATCACAACCCCCCATAACACCCCCGAATCTCCTCCTCATAAAGCTTAAAACACAACTTCCTAACCGGCGCCCCCTTACTACTCCTAGGAAACAACCTCTCCTTTACCGAAACAACAATCATCTCCCTCCTCATCCTCGCCGTCGCCGGCACGCTTTCATTAACTTTCTCCAGAGCCCCCCAGATGGAGTCGACCAACGTCTCTCTTTCGATGTTATAGTCTTTAGGTTCAACAAGCATCCCACAATACTCCCTCCCCTCCCCGAAAACCAGACAGGCCCGCAGAAGCGGATGAGTCTGGAAGGCTGCCTCGATGTGAAGCGGATTTACTTTACCGGAAGTACTCAGGGTGATGATGTCGTCCATTCGACCCTCGAATTTGTAGCAGTTCTCGAACCCGGGGTCGCGACAGCGACGTAGGACGTCGCCCATTCGCCATTCGGTATGGTTGGGAAAGATGTCGAAGACGGGACGGGTCCAGTCGAGGTCGGAATTGGGGTGGTGTCTGATGACGACTTCGTAGAGGCCTTCTTCTTCATCGATGGGTTCCAGAGAGGGCCCGACGGTTGGATGGAATTCTATGTGATTCCAGTGTGAGCGGGCGGATATCAGGAGTGGTTGGACGAAGGCTTCTGTTGAGCCGTAGATTTGCCAGAGAATCACGTTGGGGAGGTTGTTGATGACCCAATCGCCGGTAGCTTGACCGAGTGGTGCTTTGGAATGTTAGTTATGAAAGGAAAGAAAGTCGCTAGGGAAAAGACATACCACCAAGCCAATGAACATGTTCCAAACTTCCAAGATGCTCTTTGAGCTCCTCCCCATGATCAGCAAACACCCAATCAAGAAGACTAGGCACCATCAACAACCCGTTGAACTTCATGCTCCGAATCATATCGAATGCAATCTTGCCAGTAGGAAGCTGATCCACCGGTCCAAATACAATGGTATATCGTCGGAACAGTGCGCAGAAAACGAATCCAAGCCCACTCAAATGATAGAAGTTCGTGCCAATATAAACTGAAGTTCCAGGCATAATGATATCAATAGTCGCACACATCCGGCCTTCGACAGGTGGCAAGTCGCATTCCTTGTCAACTCGTCGGAGGTACAAATGATTGAGAGGAATCGGTTTCGGATTCCCGGTCGAGCCTGAGGTGTGGATTATGAGGACAGTCTCGCGGTTTGCCTCTTCCCATGTCTTGGTGTACGGGTACTTCTTCGTTGGCGATCGTGTCATCTCCTCCATTGATGGGATCTCAATCATTTTTGTTCCAGGGAGAAGTCTTTCATAATCTTGTTGTTGGCTTCCGTACTTCCCAGAGAAGAAAAGTAGTCTCGAATTCGTGGTTTTCATTAGGTTGACTGTATTGACGAGGGCATTTACAGGTCGTGCTATGAGTAGTGGATGGCCGATTTTCATGCATGCTATCTCGAGGATGAGATATCTGAAGTCCTGGAGTCCGTAGAAGGTGATCGTTTCGCCGGGGGCCACATTGTTTTCTGCGATCACTGGTTTGAACCAGTACGCCATGTAGTTGACCCCATTGTCGATTTGTGAAACCGTGACCTTGGTGAAAGTGACGGGTGTTGGAGCACTATCGTCGTAAACTGCATTCATGCCCAAGACATAATCTGGGTCCTCGGCCGCGAACTTCTCAAGTACATTGGGAAGCAGTCTTTCACCACGCTTTTCTTCGGACTCATGCTGCTGTAGTATTGATTTACCAGAATTGTTGACTGGTAAATCTTTGGCAAATGCCATTTTGGGTTGAAATCTTGTGGAGGATCCGTTTGAAATATTGGTGATGAGCTTCTGAGATTAAGGTGAAACTGGGCTCTTTATAGAGTCGTAGGAGCCAGGTGAGTATGGCTGTGGCAGGGCTGTGGTTAGATTGACACAAAAACGAAGCAAGTCAGTGACGTACTTATTCAGCTCGAGAAGTTTTATGATAGTTGACCAGTAGAGTACGAAAGAGTAATAAGTTTGAAGACGAAAGATGAGTATCTCATGACAAGAGGTATTTGACATACTTCACCGCTCATGGTAACAGCCATCCGAACCTGCGGTGCTCCTTCCCACGTAAACTTGTAAGACCTGTACAACCAAAAGTTAAATCCATGACTTGTGATGATTTTCAGATTTTGCACTCACAATTTGAAATTTCGATGCTGGTAGACGAGCTTACTAGTCGTATATGGGACCCAATGATTATATGAGCTTAATCATGTCAAGCTTCCGAGAATCCGCAGTTCGTCTGAAGATCACATCGGCCGCCAATTAAGTGGAGCAAATCCCTAACGCCGAAACCGTGGTTACCCGTCGGAAAGAGACACCCAAAAACTGTCATGTTACTCCAAAGTCTCCGAAGAAATTGTGAAAGAATCAGTGGACAGAACCCAACGTACAACGAATATTGCTGGGGATATCTCGGTGTTGATCGTATCACGCAACAATCGGGAGTTCAACAACCGGAGCTGTTTCCGTAGCACGAACACTCCCCTCTTCCTGCGCGACCTTCTCCCAGCTTCCATCACTTTCATCCTCTCCACTCATCTCACTATCACTCTCATCTTCCTCTTTGACATCAACGGCAACCCTGAGTCCCCTGCATAGATCATCAGCTTTCCTAACTTCACCCATCAAATTTTCACAATCGGACTGAAGTTGTCTTTCGAGTCCCGTTTTGTGCTCCGCGCTAAACACAATCTCGTTCATTCCACCATTGATTTTGACTTCAGTAAGCTGCGCTCTTCACAGTTCAAATGCTGGCGAGAAGTAGGACAGCATAGAATGGCATAGATGCTGAAGAGAGGACTGATATTCGGGTTTCAAAGTCATTGTGGGGGAATTCCGATAGAGATTTTCCATCACGGCGCATCGGGCCATGATTCCTGTGATTTCAAGTAATTGTGTATAGGTAGTCTTGAGAGTGGAACCCGATTCATTTTTTTCAGAGGTTAAGAGGTCCTCATGGTTCTAATCACTTTATGTTAGAAGGCTCCCATCCAGGAAAAGAGGAAATCAGAGGTCAACATACACTTAAAAGCTTCCAAACACAGGACCATCTGATAAGTGCAAGTTCAAAACCAAGCTGTTGGTCTATTGTCTTGAGTATGGTAATTATATTATCTCGTATCGCGAGAATGTCCGCAAATTGAGCGTGGCAATTGAGGATTGTTGGCATGTCTCGAACCAACTTCGATAGTTCCTTGGCGATTTATGGATGTGGATGTGTTTCAATGCCCAAGGTTTCTAACTGGTTGCTCAGGACCATGTACCCCATTTCCTTGGAATTGCGCATACTTTGGAAGGCAGAGTACCAGAAATCTGAGCTCTCCTCCTTTTTTGGCTGCTTATTGTCCTGAGCAGGACCTCCGAAGCTCAATGTGTGCTGAACATTCTCCGGAAAGTTCACATCAGTTGAAGCATTGCCCCTTTCTCCCAAACCCTTTGGACTATTACCTGGACTAGTCGGACTATAGGCTGGAGAATCTGGTAACCCCTCACCGGAGTCTTGTTCTTGAGCTACCCGCATAGCATTTAGACCAGCTGCTGCTTCCATATCATCATCGGAATATTCGTAGTCGCTGTATGAAGGTGGGAGTTCCTTCGGACTCGTCGCGAAATCCGACGCATGAGCATGATAATCGGTTCGTGGGGAGGCACCGAAAGTATAGCGGGTTGCACGATGGTCGAACCTGCTTTCTAGTGGTCTCGAAGATGAACCACCAAAAGCATTGTCGAATCCAGTATATAGACCAAGAGCGATTGAATCATCCTCGACTTTGAGGTTCTCACCAGCAGGATCTTTTGGTTTGGAGGTAAAGTTTTCGAATGCACTTCCAGTATTCTGGTCGCTCGTATAGTAACTTGGGCGAGTAAATTCCCTCTCCACGAATGTTGAAGATCTAGGTCTGCATATGCGTGGGGCCATCCAGGAGGACGGATTTTTATCTTCTCGGTTGAAATTCAGTGGTATAATCTGAGTTGGTGGTCTCGTCTGATCGGACATTGCATCATGGGATATTGGATTCTGTCTGATAGCGGGGCGGAATAGAGAAGAATCGTGAATTGTCTTTGCCGGTACGTTGATCCCGCCGGAAGTCCCTGAAGAGACTGGTCCAGACACGGTGGAAATAGAAGTTGTTCGAAATCCTTTGCCCCCAGGCCGTTCCAATGTTTCTTCACCAAAGGAAACATTTGGTGATGAGACAAAGTCCCTTGAGGGAGCTCCAAATTCAGAAGAGCGTTTGCTACTAGTTCGTTCAACGTTACGGCTTTTGATTTCGATTTCACCGCCATCATCATAGTCGATTTGTGCACCCCCAACCATTAGCCATGCATTGCCTATAACCTTGATCGTTATATTGTCATCATTATCACCACTTCCCGTCCTGGTAGCTCGTGTGGTAGCTGATTGAAAGTTTCTAAACTCGCTCTCATCCCCACTGATGCCACGCCTAGTCTTGCGATTTCTTCCATCCCGATAACGTGGTTTTACCATCTTCGCTTTCTTCATATAACTCCCTGCATTCAATGGTGGGCTTAACCCAGAAGGCGCATGCAAAGATGGTGTATCTGGTCTTGCATTTTGATTTTCTGGCTTTGAAACCGCAGTCTGAACGATAGGAGGGTTGTAATTCGACTCGAAACGCTTGAACGTATATCCTATAAAAGGCAGGCTTGTTTCTTGCGGCTTCGTCAGAGAGAGGTTCGATAGTAGTACTTGCTGCCTTCGGCTACCACTAATGTACAAGTCGTAAGAACCGGGCTCAGCAACTGAAGTTGCACCACAAAACTTTATGGGCATAGACCATGATGGTTCAGGACCTTGTTCTTGACGTGAGGTTAGATTCGCCACTTCTTCCAACGACTCTATTGTTTCTCGAAGACAGTCTTCGCAAACTTTGTGTAAGCCTTCCAGCCCACTGGTAGTTATTACCTCGTGTTCGGCTGACAACATGTGAAGCGAGGTGACTACGCCTCTCATCAACTGAACGTAAATATCATGCAGAATCGCTGAATCTGAAATTTTAAGCCTTTGTTGAAGTCCAAGAACACCCCATCAACTAGCAAACTTTGAACTTACTCGTTTCTTTGCATTTCTGGACATAAAGGATGCCATGTTTTTTGCAATGACCCACGTGAGTATCCTCGACATAATTTTGTCCATCAAGCAACAGTGTTTTCAATTACAGCGCGCTCGGATAGCACGTTTCATTTTCTGGTATAAGTCGCGTGATGAGAGTTTCGAGAGTATCAAGAGCAGTGCGAAAAGCATGCAGTACAGCTTTGACAGGCTTGACTTCCTGGGCTAGATCGAGCACTTCTTTTTGCACAGAGATGGCGCTCTTGAAGCTTTCCGTGGAAGAAACAGACTTAAGACTTCCAACCTCGGATTCCTCCGCTTTTGCCTTGCCTGCGGGGTTTAATTTGGCAAAGACTGGGCCAGTGGTTGATTTGCAAATCAAGTTAGGGACCGTGTCAGAAGAAGGTTGTTTGCCAGAAAACGCAACAAACGATCGAGTGTTGGTTGTTCTAGCGAGTAACTTGATGGGCTTGGGCTCTTTGTCAATTTCAGTCTGGTGTATTTTTGCATCATTGATGATTGATTTGGATTCTGAGGACTCGGAGTACTTGGGTAAGACATTGCAGGACTCTACTGCATATTGGGCAGCTTTCAGATGTCTGATAGTTTCCGAATCGAGTTCTTTCTCGGGTGATCTCTGGATTTTGCTAGAACTTGAAATGTTTCTGGCAAGTAGTCAGCAAAATAACTTGATCAGAAGTATTTGGGGGCCAATAATGACAGACATACAACAATGAAAGTTGTAAGTCAACCTGTAGACTCATCAAAACCGTAGCAAGCGTCCCTTTCATATCCCGAAGCCTCTTCATCAGCCTTCGTATCTCACCCTCCTTATACACAAACTTCATCCTTATGTTCCACGAGTTTTTCCCATTGCTCCCCAATTTGACCAAGATCTTGTCAATTTTCTCGTACATCTCCGCGCAATCTCTGATGATCTTGGCTGTCAAAAGATAGACATCGTCGGAGTACCATGATTTCGAGTCCTCTAACAATCGCGAGAGGAGGCTCAATGACTGTGCGAATGTTTTCAGATCATCAGCAAGGGCTTGGATATCTTCCGATGCCGATTGTACCGCTGACCCCAGAGTATAAAGGGCTTTTGATAACGATAGAGCTGTCTGAGCAAGTGTGATGATGCTGGCCACTGCTCCTACTGCTGTTATTGGATCCATGGATGAGCAAAAATATCGTCACTTGATATTGTACGTGGAGAGGGTTGAAGTGTAAGAATTCGGGTCGCATACTGCAAGTTTGTAACCTGACGCCTCTTACCTGCAGGTACAAGGATTGACTGCGCCTCGATCCGTGATCGGGTCAAGCAGTTGGTACATTGTAAGTACTTTTACTTCTGAGCTTCAGTAAAGAGACTGTAAGAGTATTAGAATAATAATCGCAGGTTCAGGATAAGCGAGGATGTTACGGAATCTTGGAAAATAACCTGGAAGGTTGGAGGAGGGAAGGTCACGTGATCTGTCAGGATTGGAGTGAGTTTTGCGGGTTCAGAGTTGTAATAGATTAAGAACAAAAGCAATCGAGTAACAGGAAACTATTATATTTGACTCGTTATTTTTAGAAGCAGAAGCAGAGAGATTCTACCAAGTGGTCCCGGCAAATCCATAGTAGAAGTCACGCGATCTTAACGCCGATGGCTGACCCAACACAAGCAAGCCTGGAAGCAGCAATTTCAGGTCGTGATTACGATAATGTTTATCACTGAAAAATAGCAAAGTCGTATTCCCGGCAAGTTCAGGGAATGTGTCATACGGTTCTACCGTCAGCCGGTAGAATTAAATGCCAACTCTCTGTTCATCGTGGTTGGGTAGAGCAACGACTGAATCTATACAACCCAATAGAGAAAAGCGTTACAGGTAAAATCAAAACATCGAGCTGCAAGAAAGAAGAAAAGTGGATTTATTCTGTGCTATTCAATATAGTGTACCTCCAGTTTCCAGTGGTCATGTCTGACATCTCGATTCTATTTAGTCAGAGGGAAGTGGATTCAGAGACGCTCTCCGATCAAGGTTCTTGACGACCCCACCGACAGTAATGCTCTTCCTAGGCTCATTGACGCCAAGAGAATCTGTTGCTTTGGAAGGTCTCGAGAGCTTTCGAATTGGGGATGCTGGACCCTCCGCACCTTTGGCCACACTCTTCCTTTGTTTACCCATGTTGGCAGATGCAGCTGCGGAGCCTCCCTCCGAAGCTACACTTGCCTTTGAAGGACGTTTACGCTTCTGGGGTGAAACGATTTCGATATCTGAAGTTGGTTCTGAGTCGGTATCCTGGCCTTTCTTGGGTGTGGTTGCAGACTTGGTAGGTGTTTGCCCAGTTTTGGATGGTCGTCCACGTTTCTTGGGTGATGCAGGGACTTCTTCATCCTCATCCCCCTCATGTTTTCGTTTGACTTCCTTCTTAGGCTTCGCCTTTTGCTTTGCAGCTGCTTCCTTCTCCTCAGCCTTGAACCGCTTCTTCTCCTCCTTTTCTTCCCTCGCTCTTTTCTTCTCTTCTTCTTTCTCCTCTTTAGCCTTCTGCTTTTCCGCGGCCTTCTTCTCTTTCTCCTTTTTTTCTTTGGCTCTTTCTTTCTCAACGACCTTGACACGTTTCTCCACATCCTTGATCGAATACCATTTTCTATCCGGTCCACCTCGGAAAGCAGGTTGGGGCTCGGTAGTCATGGTCAAGCCTTCAAGATCGGTATGCTTCAATCCATATCGTTTTTGAAGCTCAGTGATTCCAATGATGGTAGAATCGCGACATTCGGAACATTGAAGTTTCTGGTTGAAGGGATTGGGACGGAGTTTGACCTCTTCTTTCTTACAGGTTGCGCAAGTTCCTGTTGGCAGAGGTCCAGACATTTTGGTGATATTGTACGAGTGACTTTTTGGGTTGTGATAAGGTTTTTCAGTGTTGTATTTCCGTTTCTTTTTTGGCGGCTGATAGACCAGTAGTCCAGTGGAGGGGAAAAGCGGTTCTTTATAGTTGAAAAACGCTTTAGGAATGTGGAATGTGGTCAGTGCGTGGTGAGAGCAACCAAGACAGCAGCAAACAGCGAAAGTATTCGACACGAGGCTGGTATGAGACAATCTATAATTAATCCAAGGTCGTGTTTAGGATACACCAAAGGAACTGCAAGCGTGTTTGGCAGAAACCTAGACATTCGAAGATAGTTTGAATGAGCGAAACACTGGTACAGTAGTACTCTTTGAAAGAGCCGAGCAAATCTGGAAACTTGATTTTTTTCCCTTCTTTCAAACCATTTGGCAAAATAGATGCCGCTGCTGTACTCGTATACTCGTCAGATCAATGAATATTCATGTCGTAATAGGCATGATCCAAAGCCCCTGCCTCGCTTCATACGTCATGTTCGCAGAAACAATTCAGGAGACAGTAAGCGATTGGTAGCTCGTTTAGCTTCAATATGGGCGAGGGGTCTTTGAATGAGAACGATGTAGCAGAAACTAGAAGACTCTCTCTCTCTCTGAGGTGGGTAGAGACGCAAAGACATTTCGATCGCTTCGTAACCCCATCCTTTAAGTTGTTCTGATTTGGTTTGAGTCGCGAAAGGTTCACGATAAACGTGACTTCTTATCTTGCGGGGATGCCAAGAATACTACCTGTACGGGCTAGACTCAATTGAGCGGCTGGAGGGCGGTGAAGGGTGGCAGAATAATCTGCCCGCAAAAAATATTGAGCTTCATCGCAGCAATCAACAAGCTCAATCAATTAACGGATTCTCCAATTCCAACAACAAACAAGATGGCCACCAAGCGAAAGCGCAAGCAACAGGAAGCCATTGCGGCCGCTCCAGCATCAAAAAGACAACAAAAGGAAGCCAAAGTACCAAAGAAGGAGAAACCAACCGCGGTCACGAAAGCTCCAGAACCCGTCGTTCCTCTCGGAGCATCCCCATTTCTGGATAATCCAAACGGTCCCGACTTGAGAAGAGAGGTGGAACTTTACAATCTCCTCGCGAGCGAAGATCCTTCCGAAAGACTTGCCGCGGCGACCGCGATTGTTTCTGGTATCCTTGGTGGGGATGGGGTACAGGAATCAACATTGCAGAAACACTTGGAACGAAGATTGTTTCGCGGGTTGGCTAGTGGTAGAAAGGGCGCAAGATTGGGATATAGTGTAGTGTTGGCGGAGCTCATGGAACAACTTTTGGGAGCGAAGAATTTTTCGGCGACGAAGTACCCCAACTTGACCTTTGAAAAGGTTCTCAGCCTGCTGGTGGAAAAAACAAAGCCCGAGGGAGATTTAAGTGGACAAGAAGAGAAGGATCATTATCTCGGACTGCTGTTTGGACTGAAGAGTTTTGTGAGGGCCAAGATTCTTTTCGCAGACGATGAGCGATGGTGGGTTATACTGGACAAATTGTTCGAGCTGTGCGAAAAGAAACCTTGGGTTAGAGAAGAATGTGGGTGGATTATCTTGGAGGCATTGGCACAAATGAACCAAACGCAAGTTGAAAAAACCTTGAAAAAGCTACAAAAAGTCGGATTAGCTGCTTCGCCTGAAGGTGTCGGCATTTGGCTGACAGCACGAAATTCTTTCCCGGATATGAAATTTCCATCAAAGCCATGGGGTCACAGTGGGAATCCCCTTCAGCACCTCAAAACTCTTGCCAAAGCATTGAAGGAAAGTTCTTCTGATGAAGATGCCACGACAAACAAAAAGAGAGAGGCAGATGCGCGCAAAATGAACCCTACTGGAAATTGGAATCCGCAACTCCACTTTGTCTGGGGTCTTGTGATGGACAAGTTTGTTGAAAAGTCCGAGGATGCTGATGAGGAAGGTTTGGCCGACTTTGAGAACTTTTGGAAAGTTGCAGTTGATGGTGAGCTTTTGATCCTTTGCCCTCGAAAGATGACTACGCACAAGCTAACCATACGCAGAGAGTGTGTTTTCGGCAAGCGCATCCAGGGAACGCAAGTTTTGGGGATTTTTACTATTTCAAAAAATGTTCCAGGAACATGCAAAGTATGAGAAACTTCTTCCGGCAGTTTTCAGTCGCAATCTGGTCAGATGCATCATCAACCATGTCCAAGACGAGGACCGATTTCTCAATCGTTCAGCAGATAAATCGTTGAAGGTTGTGGTTCAGGCCGCACAGGCCAACCCCGAACTTTTGAAAGTCATCCTTCCAGGCCTGATTTCAGGACATGGTAGCTACAATTTTGATAAAATTACTAAAACAAAGACGATTGAAAGTCTTTTGAAACTGGTGAACGACGATAGTGCACTTTGTATTATCGAGACTCTTGCTAAACCAGCCTTCTCGGTTGAAGGGTGAGTCAACAATTCACAATATTTACAAATAACTACACTAACAGTATCCCAGGATCGAAAATGTCCACGAAGCAGAAATTCGACGACAACTTCTAGGCGAACATATCATGGGTCTCGTAAATCGCTTTGTTATCAACGATGAATCTAGAAATATTGCCTGGGTCAATGAAGCTGCTGTTCCATTGATGGCAGCGATTGCGTACTGCGAAGATGCGAGATTTGACCCACCACCTTCACCAAAAACACGAAAGCTCTACCAAGACCGATTGATGACATTGTTCTCACACTTCCTAGCGAGTTTGAGCGGTAGTAATATTCCCTGTGACCTTGCCATGGACCTTAACCCTGACGCAGTGCGAATGGACGAGGAAGTCACAGAGGCGAAGGACCGTGCTTTATCTACCATGAAGAAAATCTGCAAGAAGGTCGAAAGGGTGGATCCTGAAGACCAGGCACCTCCCCGATCATTGGCTCTCATGTATGCCCTGGTCATCTTTCAACTTTACAATGGGGAACCCGATGCCATCTCCGTGTTCGATGAACTGAAGCTATGTTACGATAAGCTTGTCCGACGTAAGGACAAAGATGATTCCGATATGGATATTTCCGCCGTTTTGGTGGAACTTTTGTTGTCTTTCCTTGCCAAACCCTCTGCTCTTTTGCGAAAAGTCTCGCAGCACGTGTTTGGTGCCTTTATGGGCGACATTACGGCCGAGGGATTACAATTAATGACAGATGTTCTGGAGACCAAAGAGAGTTTAAGAGGTCAACAGGAGTTGTTTGACCAAGCGCCCGAAGATGAAGAACCAGAGGAGGGCGAGGATGAAGAAATGGACTCTGATGTGGAGGTTGTTGATATGAATGGCGAAGTCGGCCATCTTCACAACCATCTCAACAAATCCGATGATGAATCAGACGACGAATCAGACGACGAATCAGATGACGACGTTGAAGAAATCGAAGATCCCGAGGATGAACATAACGATGAGGAAGTCAAGAGATTAAATGCCGCTCTCGTCGAAGCATTAGGAACGAAAGTTCTAGTCGACGGGGAGGACTCGGATAGTGATGCAGACATGACGGATTCCGAAATGATGGCCCTAGATTCCAAACTCGTTGAAATTTTCTCCCAGCGCAAAAAGACACCCAACAAGAAGCAGGAACAGAAAGACTCCAAGGAAACCGTCACAAATTTCAAAATCCGTGTCCTCGACCTTCTAGATCTCTATGTTAAAAACCAAGCAAACAACCTTTTAGCATTCGACCTCCTCCTCCCCCTCCTAAAACTCATCCGCTCAACCAAGAACAAAAACCTCGCTTCTAGCGCGACAAGTATCATCCTCAACTTCGCGAAATCAGCCAAGAAGGCCGGAGCACCTAAAGATGTGGACATCGGAACTGACATCAACATCCTGAAAGCCATCCACGCGGAAGCGGGGAAGGACAACTCGAAGGTCTTTGCTAAGGCTGTTAGTACGGCTAGTTTGCTCATTGCTTCCACGCTTTACAAGACGGATAAGACGACTGTGAAGAGGGTTGCGGAGGTGTATATGGAGAGTCAAATTCGAGTTGCTGAGGGGGGGAAAATTGTGAACTCGGTGTTTGTGGATTGGTGTAATTGGTGTCAGAATAGGACGAATTCTTGAGCGGTGCTGGGGGCTGGGTCTGTGTATTATTTAGTTGAAAGTGGCTACAGAGGTGGCGATATGAAATATGTGGATTTATAAGGATCATCTTGTGACTTATTATAATCAGATGGCACAGTATCAAAGTCCGATGGACCAACGACATCTCAAAATTTCTCTACAATTCCCAGTCTTGAAATCAAATAGTCTTATCATGGGAGTGTAGCAGAAGTTAGACATTAATTCCGTGGGTTACCAGGAATTTGATATTTCTGACGTTCGTCAATGCTAGTTACTACGTTACGTACATCCTTACGAGTCGCAACTGCCAAGAATACTGTCTATACCGGTCACTTATAAGCATATGTGAATTGAACAAGGGGTTTCGGAGAAACCTATTAAAGTCTCCCAATAGGTAGTAAAGATTTATTCTATGTCTCAGTGGTATATCACCCAAACTCCAAACGTAAGCATCCTAATTCACCGATTTCCTTCGTTCCAATTTCCTCACACTCCCCCTAACATCACGAACAAATCTCTCACACAACGCCATCGAGAAGTCTCTCCGACATACCACGCGCAGAAGTTTGATGTGTCTCGCGCCCTCCGCCATATGATACGCCGGAACCAACCAACCTCGCTTCTCCAACTCGTCCGACAGCGCGAATTCGTTGAAGTTGTGTTTGCGCGCTGGATCCAGCTGGAAAGCGACGAGTGGGATTCCCTGGGTCCCGCTCTTTCGGCTGAGGATGAGGAATCCTTGGTCTTGTAGTGCTGCCGTGAGATGACGGGAGACTTTTATGATCTCTGTGAGGATGTGAGTGTATCCCGCGTTGCCGAGACGGATGAATTGGTCTGTGTTTGATTAGTAATCTTGTAGTAAGTTACTTTGGGGAGTGGACTCACAATACTGCGCAATAACGTGAGAACTTCCGCGAGAAAAGTTGAGTGTGAATGAAGCTTGCGGAGTACCCAGGTAAGAAAGGTGAAAGACGAGATCTTTAGGCAGATAATCAACGGAACGCCAAAGTGCCCATCCTATTCCTGGGTAGACGTGGCCGTATTTGTGACCGGAGACGTTGATAGAAACGACTTTTTCGAGACGGAAGTCCCATTCGCAGTCCGGCACGACGAATGGAGCTACGAAACCGCCAGATGCTGAGTCTACGTGGATTGGGATGTCGAGTCCTCGTTGGATGAGAAGTGTGTTTACTTTCTTCACGTCTTCGTATTCGCCTGTATATGTCGTGCCGCTTCTAGAGTTCAGTATTTGGGTTTTTGAGGAAACAAATGGAGCTTACAAGATACAACAGATGCCCATAGTTCGTTCATTTACTAGGTCTACTGCTTTGACTGGGTCCAACACATATCTGTCTTCTGAACATGGTACGTACTGCAGATCCACATCGAAGTATCTCGCTGCTTTTTTCCAGCAAACCTAAGTAAGCGAGTCAGCAATCTTGGCGATGCCGCGTCTCCAGACGACGCGTCAAATACGAGACCAAAATGACTGTCGGTAAGGAAAGTATGGAATGAGGAATTAAGAGGTGACTGAAGAGGAAAGATATTATAAAGGTCAAGATCTTACCTGCGCCACTGAGCTGATTATAAGATTCGGCCTGCCACTTTTGTCACTCGAAGATGCTTCCTGTCGCTTGATCCAGTTTGACTTCATCGCCAGAACCGCCATCATGATTGCTTCCGAACTACCGATTGTGCTTGCTCCAGCAATGTCGCGAGGGTCTTTTGTAGGTAGATGATACATATTGGCGAGAATTTGGAGACATTTCCTTTCGATGTTGGCGGTTGCGGGGTAGGCTCTAGGATCAATGAAGTTCTTGGGCAGGCTCTCGGTTATCAATTTCTCGACCTCTGGCTCCATGTATGTTGTGCCAAAGGTTGCCAGATTGAATTGGGGCTTTGAGTCTTGAGTGAGTTCACGATGTAACAGTTCGTATGCTTGTTTTGATGACCTGGAACATGTTAGGAATGTGGATTGGCAAGTTCGATTGAAGTGTCTGGTACATATAATCTTCTGGAAATGGTTTACTTAGCAATGCTGGTGGTGACACTGAACTTGGTTTGGCTGGAACCTCTTGAGATCCACTGATGCCATGATTGAAACGAACATTCCCTGGATCAAGCTCTTTGCTGCGGTTCGTAGCCGGCCGAGGGTAATCGCTGTATAGTTTGAGAGACATGACGCCGAGACTCTTTGAAAAAAACACGAATAATGCACAAAAAACAATTCAGGCTATTTCGCAAGCGAGCCAAAGCTCCTTTTCTTTCGATTTTGGAATAACAAGAACCACGTCATTACTTTATTTACAAGCTGTGCTATCCACGCCCGCCTTTAGCGAGAATTCCCAACATCACACTCCTCTCGGACTTTAGCAGCGATGCCTGAACTTTTTGCAATTATCAGGCTTGTTATATGAGGAGTCTGGTGGAGCCTCCTCACCGCCGCTCAACTCCTTACTTCTAAATATGTTGGGGTTTGCGGCAACGCACGATTCTATCAACTACTGCAAAAATGCTCTACCTGTTACGTGAGCCATCAGCTGACACCTAAGCACTATTAAACGGGCAGGATTTCGTCACCGAATGCCGAAAGGGATGGGTAAACGTAAGCATCACATGCCCCTAAGGCCATCTAAGCAGAGACTCTCTGTCAAAAAAAAGAGTGGGCTCGGGCATCGAAGACTCCAAAAGTGGAAAGAAAAAGTTGGAACAATCTTTTAATAAGGAGTGTAGGCGGTCGCTGCATTTCGTTAAGCCCCCTTGCATGACCCGGAAAGGACTAATGCATCTAGAAGCCGTTTATGTCATCCTCCCCCACGACACCCACTGGAGCCGCATACCCTATGCGAAGCTGACGTGTGTTTCATTATGTACTCGGCATTCTGCTTATATGCTTTGAGTCATGAAGAATGTTTTTCTTGAAGACACTGTGTTACTAAAGGTGCTGTCTAGCAGTGGAAATAGCCAGGAGTGACTTCAAGCTTCGAATTGTAAGCCTAATTTGGAAGTGTCAACAATTACCAAACAATTAGTATGCAGAGACTCGATGTAAAATTACAAATTACAAATCTTGGGCAAGTAGAGCACCAGTTGTGTGCGCACTTATCATGATACGAGACTTCGTTCCATGTGTGAGCGGATATAGATGACTGCGAATCAAATATAATTATTTACTGGAGAAACGAGAGAGAGAAAACGAGATTCAATAACCGACAAACACCCGCAGGATTCTTTAGGAAGATACCCCCCACGTAAATGCCTTCTTTTGAAAACTCGGTGAGCTTCTGGATGACTTCATATCTGACCATCTGCAGCTTTGACTTCAAAGTTTCAATTGACGGTCAGTAGAGCAATGATACACCGACCCGTGCCACATGACCAATACTGTTACCAAGTTCTAACCTGAAGCATTCCTTACCTGTATGCACAATGGCATAAAAATATTTTCCCATGATGGAGCCTAGAAACCACAAAGTCAAAGATACCAGCAAGCAAACGTAAGCAAGGGAGACTCTCTATAAGCACTTAGCAATATATATACCAGTGGGGCGTCTTTCTTCAAGTCGCCACCTTGAGTACTTTCTTTCTCAAAGCTATTCTTACTACCCCAATCCAGTTGTGCTATTTTTGTACTTTTATTATGGCTATTGACCTCGACATTGACGTAGCCCCTGGCCTTCGAGGCATGCCTGATGGACTTCCTCTAATAGTTCCAGTCGACCGCAAGCTTTTTCCCGATGGACTACGAACAAGTGGACAACATCCGCCGATAGAAAGTCAACTTGCTTCTTTAGAGGAGTTTCCTCGCGAGATCACAGGGCCAACTGTTTGGGAACCAGAGGAGATGACTTCAAATCCTGAGGCATGGATTCATCATTGGACAGAAGAACAACGGACCGAATTGCTGCAAGCGACTGAAAGGTTTATTGCTTCAGGAATGCCCCTCACAAGAATTAGCAAGGTAAACTTCGTCACCGAGTACGAAGTTTGTTGGTGGCGTACAGTAGCTGACCCTCTCGTAAGGCAAACTTTCGCTTACCGAATATGGGTCCAATGCTGCAAAAGGTCAGACATGATATTCTTAATGGCCGTGGATTTATTGTATTCCGTGGGCTTTCTATCGAAGAATGGGGCCGGTACAGAGCAGCTGTAGCGACTATGGGTTTGAGTGTCCATTTCGGCTACCTTTTATCGCAAAATAAGCTGGGCTTGATTCTTGGACACGTAACCAATCAGGGAGCCGACTACAACAACCGTCTCGATACCATTAAGATCTCGGCTACTAATGCACCGTGAGTACTCAGTCTTACTCACATCGTCTCAGATGACTTGCAGCTGATCCACTTACTAATCATGTGTTTACAGGCAATTCTATCATACTGACGAAACCGACATCGTAGGGCTGCTTTTCCTTGCGCCGGGTGAAACGGGTGGTGCTTCTGGATGCGCGTCAGCACACACCGTTTGGAACACCTTGGTGAGAGAACGGCCTGATGTTGCGAAAACATTGGCATCTCCCATCTGGCATGTTGATCGCAAGGGAGAGGTCACGCCTGGGCAGAGTCCTTGGTTCACCAATCCGATATTCTTTGTGGAGCCGGGTGGGCAAGGGCGTGTATATTGCAAGTATGTCATTTTCACGCCCTTTGGAAAAACCAACACCTATGGAATCAAACCGATTGGCTAATCTCTTGGTATTTTAGATGGGACCCGTATTTCGTCAAGTCACTCACTCGATTTAGTGATAAAGGGCTCATACCACCACTGTCGGCTGCTCAGATTGAGGCAATGGAGGTTTTGGAAGCAACCTGCCAGAGACATGGTCTAGTTTACGATTGTGAGGTTGGAGATATCCAGTTTGTGTCCTGCTGCCAGACTTTTCATTCGCGGACCGGCTTCACGGATCCGCCCGCTCCAAAGCCAAAACGTTATCTGCTGCGAACTTGGATGGGGACTCCAGAGCATGAAGGTGGATGGTGTCTTCCTTTTCACGATAGCTGTTATCCTAAGCGAGGGGGGATTCAAGTTGACAATACCCCTCCAAGAGCTGAGCCTCTCATAACAGCCGGTGGCACGGACTGAAAGGCATTGGTGGGGTTTTACTGGTTATAGATTATTGAAAGAATAGAATTAAAACTTTTAGCTCTAGATGTGCATGGATTATTGTCTGCATCACTACCTTGAGAATCCGAAAGGAAGGCGTGATCCACAAAAGCTGATCTTCTATCGTCAAATCCGCTCAAACAGGTTCAATATTCCTTGTTTTAAAGCGGGGCCCCCCTCTTCTAATACCCGTAAGAACTAGTTGGTTGGTCTGCAGCAAGTATTGGTCCTGTTGGTTTTGCACGCTTACAAATCACAGAATCCCACTCTTTCCTTTGGAAATACTTAAACGAAGCTGGTTTCTGTCTTTGGGATAATTAAAATCCCACTTCCAAGATCCACCATAATTATTACTTGTTTCAATGTCTCAACCCCGCGAGCAATTAGCGAAAGTCGAAAGCAACCTTTCAGCTAGAGTTTCAAGTCCGAAATTGGTATTAGACCCACCACCAGACGGTGGTTTTCACGCCTGGGCGCAAGTGGTCTCAGGACATCTGGTCGTAGCTTTGACTTGGGGATACTCAGCGAGCTTCGGGGTTTTCCAGAACTATTATGAAAACACTCTTCCACAATCTCCTTCAGAAATCTCTTGGATAGGTGGTGTGCAAGTTTTCTGCATACTCTTCATCTCTGCCTTTTCTGGACGTGCAACTGATGCAGGACTCGCATGGGAAGTAGTAGCAATAGGATCGGCGCTTTTACTTCTTGGAATCTTTATGACAAGTATAGCGACAACATACTGGCATGTCTTCCTTGCTCAAGGTGTGTGCGTTGGTATTGGGCAGGGCCTCATGTGGCTTCCCAGCGTGACTTTGATATCGACTTATTTTTTGCGTCGAAGGGTTCTTGCTGTGACTGCAGCTGCCACCGGAACAAGTACAGGTGGCATTATCTTCCCAGCTATGATCCAAAATTTGATTCCAGTAATAGGCAAGTCGCTATTTCCACTTTCCTTTCGAAATATGCTGACTTTGAGATGGAAGTACAGGTTTCCCCTGGGCTGTCCGATGTATGGGATTTGTCTCACTGACAATGGTCATTGTCATTCTTGCATTGCTTCGAACTCGCTTACCACCTCGAAGATCCGGGCCCTTGATTGAATGGCGGGCGTTTAAAGAGCCGGCATATATGCTTTTCACGCTCGGGATCTTCATTCTTTATTGGACTCTGTATTTTGCATTTTTCTACGCAAGTCACCCTTTCAAATATCCCATGAATCGTTCCTCATCCCTGCGACAAAAGAATCTTCTGAACGAATTTCCATATTGACAAGCGAGTCCAATATAGATTCAACCCTACGCTACCGAAAAACTAAATCTCAACCAATCAGCGAGTGTGAGTCTAATTATCGTCATCAACGCGAGTGGTATCCCCATACGAGCACCTTGCGGTTACCTTGCTGATCGTTATATCGGACCGCTCAACCTTCTAATTCCATGGGTACTTCTCTGTGGTATCCTAATGTTCTGCTGGGCATTGGTGAGCACTGTTGCCGGCTTGTACATCTTTGCAGTCTTCTATGGACTAGCTGTCGGGGCAGCCATGGGACTCTTTGCTGGTACCATCCCATCTTTGACGAAAGACCTTGACAAAATAGGCACTCGGGTGGGGATGGTTTTGACGTTGATCAGTTTTGGACCGTTGACTGGACCGTCTGTTGCTGGGGCGTTGATTGCTCGCAGTGGACGGGGTTATGTCAGTGCGCAGATGTGGGCTGGTGGGTGCTTGATGGGTGCGGTGATGGCTCTCCTTGCGGCAAGGCTTATTATAACTGGATTTCATGTCAAGGTCAAGGTGTAATAATGAACAATTTCCGGCGCTCGTGAAGCGGGACGCACTCAAAATTGACAGGTGTATGTCTGTATGATACATGGTGTGAACTGCCTCCTCGTGTACGAAAAGATCCGCCGATTTCAGTCTACCAGCTACTGTTATTACTCCTCACAATAAAACCACAACAACGGACCTAAAAGCTGTAAGCATCATCACCAAGGTTAATTAGCTTCTAGAGAGTTGGCCGGGATTTATTTGATATTTTTGCGATTTTCTTTGCATTTTTTCTAGCCAATGCCGTACAAGGTGTCTGGTACTAAAATCGGCGGATGATTTCGTACACGAGGAGACTGCTATGAGATAAATATGCTATCATGTGCCAGAGTGCTATAGATAAACGGAAGTCCTCAATATCTGTTCCCAAGGCAAATCTTCCACGAGGAAGAAAATACACTTAAAGTGCTCCCATTTGGAACTGAGAGTCAGTAAAAATAAGCAACAGTAGTTTTAGCATGGTACCTGGGCAACTGTGCGGCGCTATGAAGTGGAGCACCCCTTTTGATCCTCGCTTAATCGTGTCTGAAGACTGGACAGGATTTCGGGACACGCTCACGTCAGGCCTTGCAATTTCTCACGAAATGCATCACGATGTCGAGCCATTTTGACGAGATGGAGCATTCATGGCTGACTGTTTATTAAAACTTCGCTGTATCCGGCCTTTGACTAATCACGAACACGGAACACCGAGGACGATACGATAGGTAGGTGCTACTATAACCCGGGGCCGAAAAGTTACGAGAACCCTGTAGGTGATGCTAGAACTGAGGTAGGCAAGTATCTCTCACTACTGAATTCGAGACTTTTGGATTGCATGACTTTTCAAAAACGAAGTAATTGTGGCCGCATCTCTCGCTTCCAGGCTGAGCCCAGTGGAGGTGGGTTGACCGTCTGGCACGTGACTACGCGAACCACGCGATCTTCCCCTGACGTCGCATCGCGACGGCCAATCTGCAATTCCATCGGGATTCCCACTCCCACTCACAACAACTTGACCATCAACCACACCCATCAAGTTACACCATCACAATGCCTCGTCGACAGAGTCGCAGATCAGAAAATATCATACCTCAAGCGGAGCCCACAGAAAACGGTGAGATCTCTCAAACCAACCCAATGAAACGCGCAGAGGGAAGAAACTCGCGACCGAAGACAACGAAGTCATTTCGGAGCTGACACCCGCGATAGTCAAATCGGAAGCGGAATCCGAGGACGAGAAAGATCCAGTGCCCCGCAAAATCAATCGTGTCAAGGGGAAGGCAGTACAGGCAAAGAAAGGGAAGGCAAGTGGAGGCTCGAAGCGCAAGGCAAAGCCAGCAGACGACGAGGAGAGCGAAGGAGAAGGTGCAGCGCCCGAAAAGGCCACCAAAAAAAGGAAAAAAAAGGAAGAAAAATCAGCTGAAAACATGCCGATCGTTGCGAGAACCTTGGTGAACTCGTTGAAGAAGCCAATGTACATCGGGGCGCATGTCAGTGCTGCCAAAGGTAAGACCATGACATGACCACTGGTAGTTTGCCACGTACAGCACTAATCCACGGGTTTTGACCAGGTGTCCATAATTCTATTACAAACTCCATAAACATCGGTGGTAATTCCTTTGCTCTGTTTCTCAAGTCACAACGAAAGTGGACCAGTCCTCCTCTCGCGCCAGAAGCGAAAGACCAGTTCAAGGCATTCTGCTTAGAACATCAATATGATGCAGCCAAACATGTCTTACCGCACGGCTCATACTTGGTCAATCTAGCTCAAAAGGATGCCGAGAAGGCCAAACAAGCCTACACATGTTTTCTGGACGATCTCAACCGTTGTGAGCAACTCGGGATCAGATTATATAATTTTCATCCTGGGAATACTGGGAAAGAACCTCGACAGGAGGCCATAGGCAGGATCGCGTCGCAATTGAACAAGGCACACAAAGCCACCAAGACTGTTGTGACTGTCCTAGAGAATATGGCTGGTAGTGGAAATGTGGTTGGTTCTACGTGGGAAGATCTTCGCGATATTATCGCGCTGATTGATGATAAGAGCCGGGTCGGTGTGTGCATAGATACATGCCATTCGTTCGCAGCGGGGTATGATCTGCGCTCACCAGATGCCTTTAAGCAGACGATGGAGGGTTTCGCATCAATAGTTGGTATGCCTTACTTGAAGGCTCTGCATTTGAACGACAGCAAAGCTCCATTTTCGTCTCACCGGGATCTACACGCAAACATCGGTACAGGATTTCTCGGGCTTAGGGCTTTTCACAATATTGTTAATTACGAACCATTCCAAGATCTCCCAATGGTACTGGAAACGCCCATCGAGAAGAAGGGTGCGGATGGCAAGGTCGAGGAAGATAAGTCCGTGTGGACTCAAGAAATCAAAGTTTTGGAAGGACTCATCGGCGTGGACCCGGAAACAGATACTTTCAAGGCCGAAGAGAAACGACTAAGCGATGTTGGTGCCGAGGAGAGGAAGAAGTTTCAAGGCCAAGCAGACAAAAAAGCTAAGACGGAGGACAAGAAGCAGCAGAAGACTCTCGACGCCATGTTCAAGAAAGCTGCCCCGAAAAGAAAGAAGAAGGCTCCAAAAGAAGACGGCGGAGATGACTCCGACGCAAGCTAAGGAAGTTGTGGTAGCTGCTGATAGCATCAAGACCTGCTTCCCCGATGTTGTCTTACTGAAGTAACTGGTGATGGCATGATATGTCATGAGGTCTTCGAGATGGTTTTCGAAAAATCACTCGTGCTGCAAGAGGAAAAGATTTCCACTGTGCGTTCTGTACAACAATCCTTCCATGCTCTTTTATAATATTGTAGTTGGCCCAATGTTAAAGAAACATTTGTGGGCCGTTAAATCCTGATAAGTGCTATCGAACTCTTTTTGCTCCCATTGCCGCTTGTTGATCTTCCCACAATACTCAAGTATTGTGTATCTTTCCACCTTTCCCGGGGGCATTCGTGTTCCCCATCGATCCATACTGGCGGATACAAATGTTAGATGTTTACTCTGACCAGATCATGCAGTTGTTAGTTGCCGTATAAATCGGACACTTTAGCGCTTTCGGAATTTCCATCATGAGGCAAAAGATAGGGGTCTTGGCAAAGTTGTCATCGATTTCCTCTGGTGCGACTTTGATAAGTCTCGGTCAAGGCATGTTCAAATTTGACAGATCGATTTTGGTCAGACCATCTCGTCAATAGCTGCTCGGCGAAGTCTGAAAGTTCAGGCCATGCCCTTGGATGTTACGTTGTGTTGAAATTCTGTGTCCTACATCTATGGCAGTGTCGGGAGCACTTCTCACCGTTTCTTTAGCCTATCTTGAATTGAATACCAAATACAGCAGGGGCAGTACATCTTTCTATTACATTGTACTGCACGAGAGCAGGCTGTCAGCCTCATTGTGTGGCAGTTGGGCAGGTAGGGACGACCGGGTAGAATATTCGGCGACTATTTCTGCGACCTCCCGTCGCCTCACGTTCGACTTTGACCCAAGCTCAACCCCGACTCTTTCACAAAGCGTTGTCCCATAGATTTCTATAGCTAGGTGGATGCAGATTCAGTTTCTGATGCGCTGTTCAATGCCCTTCTTGCTTCGGAATACTGCTGTCGTGCAATCCTCCGGATTGCCCCGAAAAAGATTGTTTGCTTTATGGTGTTACTACAAGCACTTTTATAAGTTGCTACCCATGACGGCCCTCTCTCGACGAGTAAAATGTCTAACTGGTCTATGTCATCTCTTTTCTGCTGCCGAAAGCCACGCAAGCCTTCCAAACATCGAAGGCATGCTCACAATCGAAACTATAATAACCCTGTTGCCCTCCATCCATCACTCCCTCTCCCAACACCCAGACCTTTCCCTTCTTATTCTGAAACTCCACAACCGCTACTTGGAAACTCGTTTCCTTTTCCTTCTCCTCAACCGCCATCACCTGCATTCTTCCCACAGTCAGATCCCCAAAGCTTTTTAGAGCCACGGGGCCCAAGGCCAATAACGCCCGTCTTTATTGAGCCTCCTCCACATATCCCACAACCACCAAGTCCAATTCTTTTGCATCGGCCACATCCACCTCCAAGACCTCCAGTAGTTCTTGAACGCCCCCGTCCACTACCAAGATTGAGACCCCCTCGCCCAGTTCTTCTTGAGCCACTTAGGCCAGTAGCGAGAGCGATACTACCTCGGCTGTTGCGTAGTCCCAGAATCAGACCTATAATAAACTCACCACCTCCTCCACCAATTGTGATAAACCAGTCCCCTCCTCCACCAGTTTATGTTTCGCATCCGCCACCACAGCAGATCATACAACCTCCAGCACAACCAATACATACCATAATCAATCAACAACAACCTACACCCGCTAACCACATAATTTGTCATCCTCCTCCTCGAAGTCCTACGCCGTCGCGAAAGGGATCTTCCGAGGATAAGTCACTAACCAAAAATCCAACAGGAAAGGGGTGTCAAAGCAAACCAAGCAACCAACCGACTGGCCAGGGCAAGCCTCCAGGCAAAACACCAAGTACAGGTACAAAATTAATCCAAAGCAACCCTTCCAATTTCGACTCTCGAACCTTGGGAGCAACTCGGCGATCATCTCGTCGGGTTACTGGTATATTGGTTAGCGAAGAAGACACGACAAAGGGTACATTAATCATCACCAAAGAGAACATATAAATCAAGTCGACGAAGTCTATTCCCCTCTTCAAAAAAATAAACACATCCCCACCCTTCACCACCATCCAAACGCAAACCTGTAACCTTCTCAACCCCTTACCCTGTGTCCCCATCTCTAACCAACTCCAGCACCAATCCACAACTCACCATCCATGCCCCTCGGAGCCCCCTTCCGCACGACATCCGACCTGTCCCTCGAGACCATGGTCCGAAGCATCGACTCGGAAGCCGTGTTACGGGACGTCTTCTGTCGGATCATGGGGGGTGATTACTTTTCCCGTGACCCGGAGGTGAGGCGGAGTGGGCTGGTGAGTGCGAGGGATGTGGGTGTTGAGTATACGGTTGAAGAGGCAGTGAGGTTGGATGATATTAGGAGGTTCGTTATTTTTTTCTTTTTCTTTTTCTTTTTCTTTTTACCTGTTTGCTGGCCTCGATCAAACCGGTTTTGACCATTCTGGTTATTTTGGGTTTTTCTTTTGTTTGGGTGATTGGGGGGTTGATGGGGATCGTGGTTTGTTTGTCGTTGTACAGAGTCGATGGTTTTTGGGTGTGAGTATTTTGCTGACAATGGGATAGAATCAACCTCACGGTTCAGATTGCTAATAGTGGTGTGACGCCACGTATGCCATACGCCGAGATCCATCCCAAACTTAGTGTGGAAGATGGGAGGTACCCGAGGGACTTTGATTACCCTCGGAGAATCGAGGAGTTTCTGGTCATGGAGTGTTAGTTCCTCTTGCCTTCATGTCCTCCTTTTACCCTTCCTTATATCACACCCTTTCGTCCATCTCGTCCTCTCTTTCGCACTCTGAATTCCCATCCATAGTCCTCTGGCGCTTGATAAGTCATGAAACTACACCATACTAACCAAAAACCCACAGCCCAAACCCTCGACCGCATCCTAACAACCTACTCCCTCCCCCTCACCCACACCCCCCACTCACCCCCTCGCACCCCCTTCCTCAGCGCGGGACTCCACCGCCTCGAAGCAGCCCGCGAAGCAAAACTCATCGCCCTATTCCAATACCTAGGCGTCAACCTCTCCGACTCTTACGCCTCAGATTTGTACCCCTCCCGCTCCACAGATCTATATCGTGCCTCGGATTCAACGACTTCACGACGCATCACGGATGAGGATTTGATTGGTGCTGCGGGGTTGGTGCATACGGGTGTTTTGGTGGGCACGGGTGGGATCAATGGTGTCACTGGTAGGAGTCTTGTCCTTGGGACGCTTGAGGGAGTTGGTGGGAGGCATCGGGATAGAGAGCGGGAGAGGGAGGAAAGGGATAGATTGGGGTTTTGTGGGACGTATTTGGCGGGGAGAAGGGGACTTGGGAGTGGGATTTAGAGGGTGGTTTGTTTTCTTTTGTTTATTTCTGCTGTTTGTTCGTTTTTCCTTTAGTGGGGGTTTTGTTTCTTTTGTTGTTTTGTTGCTAAAGTTTTTAGGTCCTGAGTTTGAGATTCAGATAAGATTTATGATTCTGATTTCTTTGTGTTTTTCTTTCGAAGAACCTTTTCGTTGCAGAGACGTGGCGGATTTCATAAGGATACATGAGAGGGTGCGATTCTTGGTATGTCTCCTAGATTGGAATCATGGGATTTGGGGAACCACGGGAGGGTTGTTTCGGATATAGCATGTTCCTGTCACTCGTTACCAGTTTTTGCTTTCACTATTGGCAGTTTCTAGAATTATGGTGGTTTTTTACTTAATATAGTTGGTTTCCCGTTTATCATCAGTACACAAAAGTCGTTACGCTGCCTCGATTCTATCATCTCTCGTACTTGTGACATGGGATCTTCGACCATGGAATCCAAACAAATAGACCACGTCAGGTTTATGTGAGTTTAGCATAAAATAATAATATCAAATGGCTCTATTACTTATTTGTTGTTATTACCTTGCCGAATTGGTGGGTTTTAAATGAGGTCTAACTAGCTCCTGAACATACATATACTTTTTAAAACCTTTTACTTATAGCATAGCTCTATAGCGGATACACGATTACAAATCTCAAGAATCCAGCTTTCCAATCACTATCTACTGCATGGTTTTGTTGCATAGCCATTTGCAGAACCATTCGAGAAGGAGATTAGTCACTTTTAATTGAGTCTTCTGGCTTCGCTTAAGAATGATTTGATGACTCCTAAATTCGATTACTCTTACTACACTCCGTTAATTCGCTATCCTGTGTTCCAGCCACAGCCTCCTTAGGATATCTTTCTTCTAAGAAGAAAGAAAAAAGAGTCGATCAGGAGTTTTTAATCTGACCGAGTACCTGAACCATCTCACCGGAACAAATTCCAAGTGCCATTTATTTTGGATTCTGAGTTCTAAGCTACCAGGGCACGCTAGGTACAGCAATTCTACGAATTTTTCATGCACGCGCATCATATTTTCTTCATATAAACTCGCGATCCGATCCTCTAAGGAAGAATTGGAAGATGAAGATCAACTATAACCCTCAATCGCAGTCCTATCTCATGCCGCCCTCCCTTCTTTTATTTCTACCATATATGCGGCATTTTCCATTTAACAAACAATCCCGGGCTACCTCCTCTCACAAAACCATAGAAGAGTTTGGGGTAAATAGCATTAACAGCCAATTCTATAAACACAGCGATCATGGAATTCCTATCTCCTCTCACTGAGTCTTAAGAGACTGTACATATTTACATACATACTTCGTAGCCAATGGAAAGAAATGAAAATAATTGGCACTGTTCCGATGTACCCACCATTATTTTTATTAACCAATAATATCGACTTATTAACTAATTCGGCGCTAATATTCAGCGTTTACGAGCTCGCTGTCTTATTCGCTAACGATGTTTTGAAGCTATCGCCAACACTTAACGTACATAATTAGCCTAATATCCTTACCGTATATATAAGAGCGGAAGTTAGTATACCATATTTAATTGAATACTAATTTTTATAAAAAGTTTTAAGAGTCTTTTGTATTCCCCTCTTAGTAATTAGACGATTTTGGAGCTTTCTCGCTCACGTACTTAAATTTATACTTAACTTATCTATGTATATTAGACTATTTCCTACCTTTTTTTATTTAAACTAAACTCGCTTCTCTCTCTTTTACTATATATTATAACTGATCAAGATACTCTACCAGCTACACCAGCTTCACCATCTGTACCCCCTGTACCCCCCGGCACACACTCGAGGCTCAGGAGGCGGAAGCGATAGTACTACAGGATAAGTTAGACGAGCAATTTGCAAGAGAAACTGAGCTATACTATAACAGGGCATAAGTTATATATAACGTGGTTTATCAGCGAGTCGATCATATCACCGAGTCGATCACTTTTTCTTGGCACAGAACTTTACACCTAAATAAATCAACCACAATATATTAAATTAATTATCGCTCTCTATATCTGACGAACTAGATATATCTATAACTTCTTGACAAGTTCGCGCGTTATGACCAGCTTTTCCACAAGTTCTACAGCGCCGCCTAGAAGGTTGCCCCTCCTTATAACCAACCCCCGCCTCACGCATGTCGCGTCGTACTTGCTCATCTACATCCTCCTGAGCTAACATATCCTGTACATCCTCTACTATAAGTGCCCCTCCTTGGCGGACACGAGTCTTTTTAGCCCTACGGCGTTTACTTAGGGCTTCATTTGCAGCGCGAAGGGTACGGACCTCAGCAGACAAAAGGGTCATCTCATGTGCCATTCGCTCTGTACCCTTTGCTAACGCAGCAACTGTTTGAAAAAGTGGAGTTGGCGAGCTTCCTTGATGACAGGCTATACGATTTCGTACAAGAGTTGATTGTGAAAGGGCTTCAGTTGGGTTGGAAGGGGTCTGGGACACCCAGGGGAGGGAGTTGGCACTACACGTCCGAGGGGGAGTTGGAGTCCGTAACCTTACGTCAAGCTTTGAAAGCACTGCTTGCGGGTTAAATGGTACTAGGCCAGCTCCGCGGAATCCAGACTGACAGTTTAGGACTGTCATTGTTTCCTTGTATGCTGCTGTAAAGGCTAGAAAGAACTCAACCTTTGTAATATGGTTGATATGGGCCTTGATAAACGTCTCAATCTGCCGACCATACGCTCGTTTTAACACACTATAGCACCCAACATCAAGTGGCTGGGTTAGATGGGATGAATGAGGAGGTAGTCCAAGAGTAATAATGTTGTGTTTCGTACAGTAGTCTTGGAACTCAGCCGATTCATGACTCTCGTGCCCATCCAAAACTAGTATTCGATACAGACCCTTTGCACGAGCTGTAGTGTGTTTATCAAAGTGCTTTAACCATTCCAGGCCTGTTTCATTATTTGTCCAACCATTGCTTGTCGGTTTCATAACCCAGTTAGGTGGGAGGCCGCCGTCGGTATACCAGTTGGAGAGATGGTTCTTGCCCTGAACTACCAAGAATGGAGGAATACTCCAGCCCTCCCCATTAATACAGGCAATTGCTGTAGCCCATTCCCGATTGCCTGGCTGAACTGCCTTGCCTCTACCACGTCGGTCTGCACGAGTAACAACCATTCTAGGACAAATAACACCCATCATAAAGCCTGTCTCGTCGAAGTTGTAGAAGTCGGAGTCTGTAACCCCATATTTCGCCCTCATATTCTCTACTAGCCGGAACCATGCGCCTAGCACGTCAGGATCTTCGCATAAGGCCCTCTGGAAGTCGTAAACGCGATTAAAACGCGTCTTAAGGTCTGGTTGTCGTTGTACGAATCGATGGGCCCAGAGCTTGCCGACGCGTCTTCCCCCCCGCGATTCAAGGATAAAATTAGCCATATCTTCTACACCAGCGAGCCGGGGCGCAAATCCTCTGGAATCCATATCCAGTATATACCGAATAATCACTTCCTCTTCTAACTCAGTCAACTTATGACAATTGGCTTGAGAATCTGGGCGGTAGGTTCGGCCAGCCATTCTGTCGGAAAGAGTCGTATATGGTACATTGTAGATCTTTGCCGCAGAGCGTTTGCTTAGTTTTTTGGACGACCGAATAGCCTCGATAGCTAGAGTAATTCGCGCTTCTTGAGTTTGAATTTCCATGGTAAATAGTTGAAGAAAACGTGTGTTGAAGTTTGAGGAGGTAGTGCCAAGGACAAGTGATCGACTCGGTGATATGATCGACTCGCTGATAAACCACGTTAAATAAATATAAGTGGTGATAGCTTCATTTTTACCCAAATAAGTGATAATGGTGACTCTAACAGCTAGCTCACAAACGCCGATATTAGCGCCGAATTGGTCAATAAATCGAATTTATTGACCAATAAAAATAATGGTGGGTACATCGGAACAGCACTGGTATGGAAACGATAGAAACAAAGGACGGCAATAGGAAAAAAATAAAAACTTACAAATAATACAGTACGTAGAAACGCCTTCTTTTATCCGCCTACAGTACAACTCAGCCTGGACCTTTGACATGAAACTACCGCACATAGTACGCTTGGTAGAGAGAATAGCCATTAGCCAGCATTTTATCGCGAATTGATTACTTCTGCCTAGAGAATTTCAAAAACGGCATAAGATGCGCAGATTAACTCTCTTCTAGGGCAATTTAGAAGTAGTACTAACTTTTATTATCCTACCAAGGTAACTAACTAATCGCTTTACAGTCAAGTCAAAATTCTCTGATCCACTGACCCCTTTCAAAACACGCTATGGCTTTCCCATATCCGATCAGTAAATACACACCTGTATGTATCGGAGCCCATTCCCACTTATTATCCCGATAGATTTAGAACAATGATCTGCTATGCACACTCCCGAGATTTCATTTCTTACATGCCGCGAATTGCCAACCTGTTTCAATTCACTCGCCCTGTGATGCATTAGTACTAGACAAGGTGAGCAGCGAGGAAGGATCCGAATATAACCCCCAAAAGAAACTCGTCAAGATCTCTCTACACCATTTTTGCAAATATCTGTCTTCGCTTTAACCAATTCAGCAATCTGCTCGTCAATTTTGCGAAGTATTTCATCTCTGCAGAGCTTAACTTTCAATTCGTCATTGTCGTTCATCGCCTGATATACGCCTCTAATATCATCTCTGCATATATCTAAGTGACCTGCTCCAGCGACCAACGTATCATACGTGATCACTAGAGGATTACTTGGGTAATCGCCATTGATCTTCCATCAAAGATATTGCTCGTAACCCTCCGGAAAATCCTCGAGGACAAGCTCAGTAATGCCTCGGAGAGCGGTAAATGGCTGCAGAGCCTCGGACTGTAGGGGACCTCAGAATTAGTATTGTCTTGAAGCATGTTTGAGGAAAGAGGAGGTGAGGGCAGAAAGGGGGCATCAAAAAACTCGAAGAACACTTACAATTCCTGCAGTCCAGCCTTTATAATGGAGTCCTACGAACAAGTAGTCCAACGGTATTCTAAGTAAAACCTCGATCGCATCCCCCAGGTGATATTCATATTCCCGGACATCAGACTCATAACGTGGCACTTTGTCGACCTCAATCCGCACCTTCTTCATGTCCTGTAGCCTGGCTCTAAGTGTGGCCGACATCTGTCTCCCAAAAGTGTAGATACACGCGCTAAACCATCCAAACTCTTGATCCTGCTCTGGCTCCAACCCAAAAGTGAAGACATTCTCAGCATAAAGCATGGTTCCAGCCTCGTTCAGAACCTGTCGGCATGTGCGGAGGATCGCCGGATAAATCCCCGCGTATTCCACACACCGGAGTTGGCTCGAGTCCGGAATAGGCTCATCGGAGACAAGAAGTAATCGATACACCATCATTCGAATTTCCAACGGCAAGGTGAGGAACCTGAATTCAGCCTTGAGACCACCAAGCTCCTAACAATATATCAGCAAACATTAATAAAAGGCAGGAAAACACAAACCTGAGTAAAGGATCCCAATTCATCTACCCCAGGGTCTACTTTCTGTCCCATCGTGGTCTCTCGTTGTGTATCTTGCATTGTGGATGAGAAGGACGAGGTAATGAAAATGTCCCAACCTTGGAGTTGTTGGTGTTGAAAAATGGGGGAGTGACGAGTGTTTGCGTCTTTTGTAGACGATCGATGTTACACAAAATCACCAAATAACGTGACTACAGTACTACGGAACGCCGATCGGAAACTTCTATTAAAAGTAAAGAAGTGAAATAGTGAAATAGTGAAATAGTGAAAATCTACTCTCTATTTTCCTGGCAAGTTTAGGAATGGTAAGAATTGTTTTTATTATTTAAAAGGAGTTAGGATAGTCACGGTATCCTGAATGTACTAATACGGCATCCCGAATCTACTACTAAACCAGATGACTTAATCGTAAATCGCAAATCGTAAAAGTTATATATTTACTACTACTATGCTAGAGTGCCTTTACCCCCACACCCCCACCTTAGACTTCACGTGCCTAGGTATTTTTATGTAGACACCCTAACTACCTGTTCCCTTACTGTCGCATCCTTACTGTCGCATCCTTACTGTCGCATCCTTACTGTCGCATCCTTACTGTCGCATCCTTACTGTCGCATCCTCACTATCGCATCCTTACTGTCGTATAAGGGTTGTGCCCTAGTAACTTGTTTAGAAGAGAAAGAGAGAGAGAGAGAGAGAGAGAGAGAGAGAGAGAGAGAGAGAGAGAGAGAGAGAGAGAGAGAGAGAGAGAGAGAGAGAGAGAGAGAGAGAGAGAGAGAGAGAGAGAGAGAGAGAGAGAGAGAGAGAGAGAGAGAGAGAGAGAGAGAGAGAGAGAGAGAGAGAGAGAGAGAGAGAGAGAGAGAGAGAGAGAGAGAGAGAGAGAGAGAGAGAGAGAGAGAGAGAGAGAGAGAGAGAGAGAGAGAGAGAGAGAGAGAGAGAGAGAGAGAGAGAGAGAGAGAGAGAGAGAGAGAGAGAGAGAGAGAGAGAGAGAGAGAGAGAGAGAGAGAGAGAGAGAGAGAGAGAGAGAGAGAGAGAGAGAGAGAGAGAGAGAGAGAGAGAGAGAGAGAGAGAGAGAGAGAGAGAGAGAGAGAGAGAGAGAGAGAGAGAGAGAGAGAGAGAGAGAGAGAGAGAGAGAGAGAGAGAGAGAGAGAGAGAGAGAGAGAGAGAGAGAGAGAGAGAGAGAGAGAGAGAGAGAGAGAGAGAGAGAGAGAGAGAGAGAGAGAGAGAGAGAGAGAGAGAGAGAGAGAGAGAGAGAGAGAGAGAGAGAGAGAGAGAGAGAGAGAGAGAGGGTTGCGGATAGGACAGAAACGGGGAAATATTTTCGTGCGTGTTACTTATCCCTAGCCCCGAATACTACCTTCCTAAAACGGCTAGGCTAGCACGTGTTATGCTAACAATTGTTTACTACTTGTCTGTCCTTTCTCCCCCTCGTACTTTGTCTTCTCTTTCTTTATAACAACTCTTTATAACTATGATAGTAATAGTAATAGCGATAATAAGAAGGGATAAGAGGTATTTATTTACTAGGAGGTGTCACGAATCACGTGCTCACGTGATACTTGTCATAATAAGAGGCGCAACTCTCGACAGGCACGTCCAGGTTTCTTATAGCAAATAGGGATCGCTTAGGGTAGCTAAGCGATCCAGGGATTTCCATTGGTTATGGTCACATGGTTAAGTTGGATCGCTGGATCGCTCGGCGACCTAGCGAAACGGACCGCCAGCTCGACAGGCGAGTTGGCTACCCAGATCATAGTACTTGAGGATGAAGGTTCTATATAAGACTGGCACGTCTGCCATTAGATAGGAGCTTCGTGCTCAACTTAGTTATCAATCTTATCATAT